TAGGACCGGGGGGGGGGAACGATTTTGAGACCCTGACCGTAGTGCTCTCTGGGGAACGTGTGGGGTAGTCTGGAGATCAGTTGTAATTCTGGGATATCTCCAGGTCCTATCTGGAGTTTGGCAACCCTACCCATGCATGGCACGACCACACTTGCTCCATCCAAACCCTTACCCTGGATGGCACAGAGGGCATCCTTCTCATCGCTGCCGTCCCCACAGCTGTCTTCCCCATCACAGGCCAAAAGTCCGGGGATGCAGCGCCCATTCTTGCACGCGAACTGGTCGTCGGCACAAGTGCAGTTGGCTTCGTCGCTGTCATCCAGACAGTGGTCCACGCCGTCGCAGGTCCAAAACTCGTACACGCATCGCCCGTTTCGGCACTGGAACTGGGCCTCGGTGCAGGTGCAGTTGGCTTCGTCGCTGTCGTCCCCACAGTGGTCGAACCCGTCGCAGCTCAGTTCGAGGGGCACGCAGCGCCCATTGGCGCACTGGAACTGGCTCTCGCCACAGGCGCAGCCGGCTTCGTCGCTGCCGTCCCGACAGTTGTCATCTCCATCGCAGAGTTCGTCCTCCTCCACCCGATGTCCATTCTTACACTGGAAGAACTGGCAAGGGCAGCTGGCTTCGTCGCTGTCGTCCCCGCAGTCATCGTAGCCGTCACAGGTCCAGAGCTCAGGTATGAACTCCCCGTTCTGGCACTTGAATTCATTGAGGAAGCAGAAAGGGCTGCAGAGATCTTCATCCCCATCATCCCTGCAGCCTTCACCTGAAAGCAGCAGCAGGAGGAGTCATTTACAAATGGCTAGCAATTTTTAAAGATTCAGAATCTGACTTTTGTTCATCATGTTGAAATAATTTGGTAAAAGTAGTTAGATATTCAGAGTTGGCAATGGATCGTTGTTCACTGGAGAGGAGGCACATTCTTTCTATGCAAAAATCTTTATTTCTAAAGGGAAAGGTACACGGGAAATCTACAAAACAACAAACACTTAAGACTACATCCTTGCTATTACAAGTACAACAACAGACTGACTGACCACAGGATTGGTAAATGAAGATTCTTCTTTCTCCTTGACCCTAGAAGGAAATCACCTGAATGCATTAACCAATGATTGTTAGTAAAGAGGCTCCAGTTTCCTGGGCTTTCTCCCCATTGGCTTTGCGCCAGGTTCCCTTCCAGGTCAGTCGAAACAATAGCGCACAAGGTAAACACATTAACCCTATGATGACTGAATTTAGACCTTGCAACATACATATTTCCAACACATCACTCATAGAATCGTAGAGTTGGAAGGGATCTCCGGGTTCATCTAGTCCAACCCCCTGCACAGTGTAGGAAATTCACAAATACCTTCCCTCCCCACACTCCCAGTGACCCCCTGTTCCATGACCAGAAGATGGCAAAAAACCTCCAGGATCCCTAGCCAAACTGGACTGGAGAAAAATTGCTTCCTGACCCCAAAGTGGCAATTGGCATTTCCCTGGCCATGTTAGAAAGGGCCACAAGAACTAAGCACTGAGGCAACCCTTCCTGCCCTCCCTCTCATGATCTGCCTAAGTTCACAGAATCTGCATTGCTGTCAGATGGTCATCTAGCCTCTGTTTGGAAAACTCCAAAGAGGGAGAGCCCCCCACCTCCCGAGGAAGCCTGTTCCACTGATTTAATTTCAACCCTTTGGTTCTGGTCCGACCTTCTGGGGCAACAGAAAACAACTCCATACCATCCAGTCCAACACTCTGTGTCACACAGCGGCCAAAACTCAGATGCCATCAGGAGGTCTACCAGTGGGGCCAGAACTGCCACAAATTAATTAGTCTTTAAGCTGCTACTGGACTCTTGCTTTTGTAAAAGTGTTGTGTACTAAGGATGAGTCAGCCTCAACTAGCCCTGGGGTCAGGTTGAGCTTGCATCCACAAACAATGGCTGGCTAGGATCCTGTAATGGACCGATAGAGAAACAATGTAATGGTAAATAGCCTATCGTTGGGAGTGGGGTGTGTTTGGGGTGTGGTGTCTTGCATGCTTAAAAACCAAGCTTCTGCCAGGGATTTTCAGTCCTCCTTCTCCTTGCTGAAATCACTTATAAAGAGAGCTGGTCACTACACTTGGGGTCTGTTCATCCATGGAACCCACTATTTAATAGAAAGGTATGTGAAGGGCCTCTGCCTTGCATGCCAAAGGTCCCAGGTTCAATCCCTAGCAGAAGCTCCAGTTAAAAGGACCAGGCAGCAGACGATGTGAACGACCTCTGTCTGAGACCCTGGAGAGCCTCTACCGGTTTGAGTAGACCATACTTACTTTAGTGGTACTTCCTTGAAGAATGTCGAGGAGATAGTGGTGAACCACAAAGTTTCTCCCTCAGTGTTTAGATTGTTCTATGACTGCACCAACCTGGAAGGGGTTAAATGCCCTCCTGGTGTTGTCTTAGAACAGACTCCATCTCAAAGCTAGGGACTACATTGTTTTTATCACACAAACCTGATATATGTTGTCGAAGGCTTCCACCAGGAGGTCCACCAGTGGAGCCAGAACTCTGGAAGCCCTCCCACTGTTGCCCCCCAAGCACAAAAAATACAGAGCATCACTACCCCAGACAGAGTGTCCCAGCTATACCTTGTGGCTAATAGCCACTCATAGGCCTCTGCTCCAGATGTTTATCCAGTCCCCGCTTGAAACTGTCTACGCTTGACCTGAAGTCCCTCACACGCTTATAGCCTAACCCACCTCATGGGGCTGTTGTGAGAATAAAATGGAGGAGGGCAGTGGAATATAAGCAGCATTTGCGACTCCATTAGGGAGAAAGGTGAAAAACCTGAAGGTTTTTTGTCATCTTCTAGGCATGGAACAGGGGCCACTGCGGGTGGGGGTGTGTGTGCTTGTGAATGTCCTGCATTGTGCAGGGGGTTGGACTAGATGACTCTGGAGGTCCCTTCCAACTCTGTGATTCTATGAATAAAGTAAATAAATATAAATAAATGTTGGGGAAAGGTGTGAAAACAAATAAGCCAACAAAACTTCTCTACCTGGGAAGGGACTGTGTAGGTTAGAAAACAATGCAACCAATGCTCCCTCTAAGCTGTGGAGTCTTGTGAGCAAAAATTCTACTTTGTGAGCTACCGGCATTAAAGTTGTGAGCGAGCAATTTGGCTGCTGCAAATATTAGTTTGCTCTGGATTTGCTCTTCCTGAGCGGAGACACAAATGTGTGAGCCAGAGGCTAAAAAACTGTGAGCTAGCTCACACTAACTCAGCTTAGAGGGAACACTGAATGCAACCATGGTTGGATTGTTTTCTAACCTACGGACATGATAGACAGTTATCAAACTGTGCATGGTAGAGAACTTTTCTCTCCCATGATACTAGAACTTGGGGGGGGGGCACCCAGAGAAGCTGTTGGGCTACCAGAAATAGCACAAAGTGTCAAGTGGGTAGCTGTGTCGGTCTGTAGCACGAGAACAAGATTAGAGTCCAGTAGCACTTTAGAGACCCAGGGGTCATTTCCTGCAGGAGCGCACAGGAACAGAACTCCGGCAGTAAAGAGCCCAGGGGGTGGGCACATGCAACAAGCCCCGCTCCCTGCTCCCAGCAGCCCTCAGTCAGATCAAGAAGCAGCCAGGTAAGTTGCAGAGCCCCCCCCCAGCCCAAAACAGTCCGGTGGCACCTTTAAGACCAAGCTTTATTCAGGTACAAGCTCTCCCTCCTCTGCGAGGACAGACCTGCAGGTTCCTCCAACCTCCCCAGCTAGTAATCCAAAACAGTCCAGTGGTACCTTTAAGACCAAGTTTTATTCAGGTACAAGCTCTCCCTCCTCTGCCGGGACAGATCTGCATGTTCCTCCCCCCCCCCCAGCTAGCAATCCAAAATAGTCCAGTGGTACCTTTAAGACCAAGTATTATTCAGGTACAAGCTCTCCCTCCTCTGCGAGGACAGATCTGCATGTTCCCACCCCAACAGCTAGCAATCCAAAAGAGTCCAGTGGCACCTTTAAGACCTAGTTTTATTCAGGTACAAGCTCTCCCTTCTCTGTGAGGACAGATCTGCACGTTCCCCCCCCCCAACTAGATAGCAATCCAAAACAGTCCAGTGGAGCCTGAGTGGTGGGTGTTGCCTTCTGACACACTTCCGGTGATGTCAGGGTGTGTGGCATATGCAAATAAGTTATGCTAATGAGTTATGCTAATGAGCTCCTGCACCTCTTTTTCTACGAAATGACCCCTGTAGAGACCAACAACATTTTGGGGGTATAAGCTTTCAAGAATCAACACTTTGGTTCTCCAAAGCTTACACCCTGGAAATCTTGTTGTTGCTATTTAAGGAGAGAGAAATTGATTACAAATCAAATTGATTAATCGATTAAAACATTGATTAGCTGGCGGGACTCACTGCAATGGGGTGCAGTGATGGCTACTCATTTTAAAAGGGGACTCAGCAAACTCAGGGGGAACATCTGTGGCTATTAGTCACGCTGGCTGATGAGTGGGAATTCCTTGCTCAGAGGCAGAAGCCCTGAGAACGTCAACTGCCGGGAGGAAGAAGGTGGGGAGTGTGGGTGGACTTTGGCCCTGCTTGTGGGAAACAGGATGCCGGACTTGACGGACCTTGATCTGGTCCAGCAGGGCTCTTCTGAGGTTCTCATCTCTGGCAGCAGTTCCCTTAGGCACAGAAAAGTCCTTCCCAAGACCGGCTTCCGGAGGTCTTATTTTAAAATAGGAATCGCCAGAGAAGGGATTTAATATGGCAACATGTATTTGTGCTCCTGGGGAGGGGTCTTATCATCCAATCACATTTGCACCCTAGGGGAAGAAAAAGAAGACACCCTCTTCTCCTCCCTCCTTCATAAGAACATAAGAAGAACCCCGCTGGATCAGACCAATAGTCCTTCTAGTCCAGCCTCCTGTCTCACACAGTGGCCAACCAGTTCCTCTGGATAGATAACAACAGGGCACAGAGGCCGAGGCCTTCATAAGAACATAAGAAGAGCCCTGCTGGATCAGACCAATAGTCCTTCTAGTCCAGCAACCTTTCTAACACAGCCGCCGACCAGTTCCTCTGGAGGGCCAACAACAGGGCACAGAGGCCGAGACTTTTTAAGAACATCAGAAGAGCCCTGCTGGATCAGGCCAATAGTCCATCTAGTCCAGCATCCTGTCTCACACAGTGGCCAACCAGTTCCTCTGGAGGGCCAACAACAGGGCACATAGACCGAGACTTTTTAGGAACATCAGAAGAGCCCTGCTGGATCAGGCCAATAGTCCATCTAGTCCAGCATCCTGTCTCACACAGTGGCCAACCAGTTCCTCTGGAGGGCCAACAACAGGGCACAGAGGCAGAGGCCTACGTAAGAACGCAAGAAGAGCTCTGCTGGATCAGGCCAATAGTCCCTCTAGTCCATAATCCTGCCTCAAACAGTGGCCCACCAGTTCCTCTGGACGACCAACAACAGGGCACGGAGGCCGAGGCCTTCATAAGAACGTAAGAAGAGCCCTGCTGGATCAGACAAATAGTCCCTCTAATCCAGCATCCTGTCTCACACAGTGGCCAACCAGTTCCTCTGGAGGGCCAACAACAGGGCACATAGACCGAGACTTTTTAGGAACATCAGAAGAGCCCTGCTGGATCAGACCAGTGGTCCATCCAGTCCAGCATCCTGTCTCACACAGGAGCCAACCAGTTCCTCTGGAGGGCCAACAACAGGGCCTAGAGGCCAAGGCCTTCATAAGAACATCAGAAGAGCCCTGCTGGATCAGGCCAATAGTCCATCTAGTCC